AAGAAGGAATGTTCAATTATTTTATCTTATTTTTGAGTCAAGATCTCAGTCTGTTGCCCAGGCTGGATTACAGTGCCTTGATCACAGCTCACTGCAGCCTCAACCTCCTGCGCTCAAGGGATCCTCCCACCTCAGCCTCCTGAGTAGCTGGGACAACAGGCATGCACCACCACACCTGGCTATTATTATTATTTTTTTTTTGTAGAGATGGAGTCTTACCATGTTGCCCAAAGCAGGTCTCAAAACTCCTGGGCTTAAGCGATCCGCCCACCTCGGCCTCCCCAAATGCTGAGACTGCAGATGTGAGCCACTGTGTCTGGCCTTGTTTAATTATTTTAAAAACACAAATAGTTTCTTAGAGGATTGCACAGCATTATATAATGTAGACAAAATCACACAGATCAAATGTGAGCTGTGACACAGATCTGGCGTCAGAGCTGTCTGACACCAGAAGCAGTGTTTCTGCTATGTAGCAATGCTTTCAAACGCAAGGAAAGGGGATCAACTTTCCCACCTGCCATCTTTAATTTAGAAAGGATGCTTGCTGCAAGTAGGAGTGAAGAAGAAAGTTAAATAATAACAATAATAGTAAAACAAAACCTTATAATTTGTAGTTGCTATGTGACAAAGGACATTTTGCTGTGTTGTGTGTTGTTTAATATAACACCTCCCAGCTCTGTTTAAGGCAGAATAACTGCCTTCCTGCAAAGCACTGAACCTTATCTATCCTTCCTACATTCTTAACAAAGTTCCCAGGCATCTAAAAATTCCTGTTTTTCTTGTTGATCAGCTGCAAGTCACAAAGCAGATAAACTCAAAACTGCAAAATGTGTTTCTCAAGACGTCACTTTTGACATGTAAAGTACATCACAAGATATGTCACAAGTTAATTCACTGCTCTTTGTTCTAGCTTCTGTAAACTTGCTTCCTACTTTGTCACCCTGTACCACCCAGGTACATAAAAGGTATGCCATTTTCTTCGTCCTTTGCTCAGAATTAAGAAGCGATTCCTCTGAGCCTGTGATCATGTTAAATAGAATCCTCCTGCAACCCCATCGGTCTCTCCAGATCTCTGATTTCCTGCTGCAGGAGATGATTCTGTTGCTAGATCAGACTGCAGGCTAAAGGGAAGAGGCTGTGAGGAGTAGAGACCCTTACCCAGATGCTGACTGGAATGTTGATTTTGACTGTTTCTCTTATTCCATGTAAATGATAATGCCTTCTGTACCATAAGGAGCACAGCACACTTGATCCCTAAGGTGCAAAGAGTCGTCAAAATAGGAGAAACTTTCCAGTTCTCCAGAGGGGCTTTCAGAAGATCAAGGTGGTGCTTGGGCAAAATTGTGAGTAATAATTACCTTACCATGTAGCAATTGGTAAGAAGGTTATAATATACTTTTCTCATGAAATACTCAACATCACTTGAAGTAGGTAGTGTTGACCCCAACAGGATATAGGCATAAAAAAGTCAAATATCTTGTCTGAGATCCCATATTTAGAAAGTGACAGAGGCAGGATTTGAATCCAGCTCTAACTGGACACACAGGCTGCATCAATCTATGATGCTTATTCCCATCTAGGCTCCCTCTTTGGTCCTGTGCTTACTCAAAGTGCCTGAGGCTCTCTATTTTCCTTTTACCATTCAAAAGGATCTGACATCAGTCACAGGCAACTAAGTATGCTGTTTAGTTGGTGGCTACCTCTCCAAGGATTATTTGTACTTAGGCTTGCTGATGGTGTGCTGGACTTGGCTTGTACTGGCCTGGGAGAGCTAATTGTTAGATTTTTAGGAATTTGTGAACCATTAGACATCACATTGGTAGTTTAAAATGGGCCATGATGGGAGTATTTACACCAAAGGAACTGGCAATACACTATGAATCAGGGCTTCCCAACAAGCACCATCCTCGGATTCCTAAACATTTACCAGAACACCCACGGGCTCTTATCTCTCATTGTCCTCTGTCATAGAATTTTAGGCATCAGGGACCACTTGGGAAAAAATTGGCAGGCACAGGAGAGCATCTGAAATCATGCCTGCCTGCAGGCCACCACCGGCCAAATCTAAGCTGCTTTTTGGTCCACTGCTCCAGCAAGATGAAGGTGCTTCTTGGTCCCTTCGAACACACTTGCACATTTCAATAGGGAAAACAGGCATCTAACGCCAAAATTCAATCCATGTTCAAGTAAAAGCCTCAATCAATTAGTATTATAATGACAACAGGCATGATTTTTTAGGTTAGAATAAACATACTTGATTTCCAAAATTACCAAATTTGTTCCTGAGTATGTAGAAGGCTTATTTTTCATATGGTGTTATAAATTCATAGAATAAGAAAACTGTAAGAATCACAATTTTACAAATGAGAAAAGAGAAAAAGAAGTTCTGGGATCTAAGAGGGGCAATAACTGACCAGGAGCTCAGGATGCATGTAGATCTCCCCACAGGCTTGTATTTAGCTACAGAACAGAAGGAATCGAGTACCCTGATCTTAGCTTGACTTCGAAGAATCCTTTAATATCTCCCATCATTTGAAAATAATGCCGCCCTGCTGGCTTTTTTAGAGATATGAAAGGGATACAAATAACGGTTAATTTTTACTAGACGCTTACCAGCTGACAAGGCTGTGCTAAGTACCTAATATATTAAGTTGAACTATATGAAACTGCTAATATCTGATATTTGATCCACCAAATAATTTCAAAAAGTTCAGCCTAAAGACATTGTACCTCTGAGTCTTTGCCATCTTCCTATGATCACATCCATTTTACAGACTGAAAATGGAGGTTTTAATTTGAAGATGAAAATGTTCTTTGCACAAGTGTAATGTTATTTACTTCTAAGTAATATTAATGCACTCTTGTGTGTAAACTGGTGGCCCTAAATGTTGTATTATACATAGGACATGAACAGTAATAACTCACATATGTTACTTTTTCAGTGACCTTGGATAAATTTCTAATCAATGATTAAATAATTAATTATAAATTATAAATGAATATTTAATAATTTATTAAAATAATTACAATAAATAAATAATTACTTTTAAAATGTTATTTATAAGTATCAAACATCGGCATTAGAAAACAAGAAACTTGCTATTTGGACATATATACTCTATATTTCACATGGAAGTATTAGAAACTATAGCCTAGGTCTCCCCAGAATGAAGTAATTGTCTTAGAAATTTTCATAATGCTCAGATAAAGAAGTAGGGTCGTTTTACAACATTGTCTACATGCAACTTATGACCAATAAAATTCTGAAATAAGGTCATCTGGTTTGTGATTATTTGCAAATAATATTGAGCTGAAGTCACGAACAGTTCACAAACAGCAATTGGGCTAAGGAATTATTAGTACTAACTAAATGAGATGATACTATTTTGAGTCAGAAAAACAAACTAGTGAAAACTATAAAACAGCCTTTGAAAAAATATTTAAAGGTGCATGACTGTTCTTTCAATACGAAACAAAAACTTTAAATGTTCCATTCACAAAAACGTGTTGAGTAACGCCATGAAATTTATTAGCTCTACACAATAAATCCTCCAAGTTCACAACCTGGGCTCCTGGCCACCTAGCAAAGAGGCCTTGCACATAATTCCATGTGTTTTCTGATTGACTGGTAAATTGTTATCAGTAAGAGTCTGCTAACAAGACAAGTAATTCTTTTCACTTCCAAAGAGACAGCATTATTTTGCCTGCAACTTTTTTTTTTCTGTAATTCACCAAGGACATGCAACACCTGCAACTTTAAAAGATGAGGCCTCCACAGGCTATATACCCAGCCTGACCTACTTTGGAGCTCCCTCTCATGAAATGCTTTAAAACCTGGCACTCCAAAGACTCCCAAACTCATGCCTCCACCTAGTAAGTCAGACTCCAACAAAGATTTGGAGCACTTTTGTTTCTAAGTGACCATCAGGTACCTAATATTATTTTCCCTTCAGGAAAATACGTGATAATTCTTGTCCTACCCTACTAATGATGTAAAAATAATATAATCATACAGTAAGAAATCAAATATGCTTTGAAAGATTGCAGAGTAGGGCTAAACAAGAGCCAGTGCATAAAGCAAAGAAGTTTTGCGGAAGAAAGGGATCTTGTATGTTGTTATTTCCAGTTTTTTTCCTTGTATAAAGCAAGAACCTGAAATGGGAGGCAGACATTTGTCCAGGCTGGATCACCTACTGAGAAGTAGAGTTTGGTCTCTTGACTCTTGTTTCTACCAAACTACATTATTAAGATTATTCCCGTTGCTTTTGTTATTACTGATGTTAAGAAGCATGAGACTATTTTTAGATATAGAGACGACTGACCTAGCTAAGCAGCCATACTCTTCTGGGTAAGAATCACTGGTCTGCACTGCAGAAAGTTTGCTCTTAACAACCCTGGTGTCCTAGGAAGTCTACCAAAGATGAAGAGGTTTGCCACTGTGCCACACAACTTTAAACAAGGAAATGCCTGGAGAATCTTATTCCAAGATTGGGCAAGTGACGAGTATTGAGACAAACAGAGTTAAATTCATGAAAACGTTAACACTGAACCCAACACTTAACCATTCTAAACAACAGTTTCTTCCACTAAAAAATAAGAAAGCTGGGGTAGATCATCTCATCCAATGCTAATATTGTATTAATCCATGTTTCATTAAATTTAGTATGTTTCATAGAAAGTTCAAGTTTTATCTAATCATAATATTTGCTGCCTAAAATGTTATTAATAATTTTAAAATTAAACATAATCCTGCAGGGCGAAAAAGCCGATAGATGTTAAATGTATCGTTTTTAGAACGGAAATCGCCTATCACCACCATTTCACCTCTAGACTGCTCTCTGTGTTCTCCTCTGATTACTTTTACTGTACTTCTGTTGTTGTTATAACAAGCATGCTGGTGTTTCATGTTTTCTATTTTATGCCACGTATACATATTTGCATCAGCCCAGTCCAAACATAAAATATTATGTGAAAAAAGACAAATGAAACTGCTTACATACCCCATGACGATCCTCAAAGTATGCCAGGCTAGCTTTGGTTAACACAAAGAAGCGGACTTTAAAGTTCGAGGGAGAAGTTCTTCTCTTTTGTTGGGATTTCTTGATGAGCTGTTCTTCCAGGAGGATAAAGTTGTTCATGATCCAGTTCTTGAAAGGTGATGCACCTTGGGCATCACCTATTAGCACAACCAAAGGAAAGAGCTTTGGGGCAAAGAATGCGACGGAGAGGCAGTTGCTGTTCAGAAACCTGCTCAAAGGCAACTTGCCTTCAACGTTATCTTTCTATCAACATTTAGCCAACATAGCAGAGCTTCTCCTCTGATGTCAAAGGCCATAACCACATCCTTTCGAAATTCACAAAACCAGGAGGCATATGTAAAAAATACATACACCCTTTGCTATATGGCTTGAAATAATACTTGAAGAATTGTAGACTCAGAATTATGGTAAGGATTAACAGTTTAATCTTTCTAGTTCCTGGTTTAATCCATCCAGCAGTTAAAACATGTAGCACAGGGGGTAGACTGTGTGGTTTTCCTTACCATGATACACTCAGCAACCTTCAGACATAAGAAAAGATGTTTAAGAAAAATCTGTTCAATGGATCATCACCAAATTGGGTTAGACAAGTAAAAGAGGTAATGAGCCAAACTCCTCATATATTAAAATGAAGAAATATGTTGCTGAAGATGATTAGTTTTTAAGATTTAAATTAAAACCCATAGAAATGTCTCAATGCTACATATAGGTGATTGCCTTTCTATACTGACATTTTGTGGAAAAGTGAAAAATAAGTGAATCCTTCAGGATGGCATAACAAAGTATACATGGGCTTTGAAAACAGACAAACTTGTGTTGGGCTCTCAGCTCTGTCACTTACTACGCTGTTTTTCTTTGAGCAAGCTGTGCCTTCTCTGATCCTTAGCTTCCTTGTGAGGGTCCTTGAAGAACTGAATCCCATACATTTTATAAATGGTGGGTGCTAGTCATGCATCTTGCCTTAGAGTTAGTACATAGATGAAGTATAATGTGTGATACTTACCTCTACCATGTTAATAATCAAGAGATTTTAGTGTAAGCAGAGATGGCATGTACTGGGTAGGAATAAATAATAAACGAAACAATCATTATTGCTGTATAGGAGTGAAATTCTCCAATGTTCATTTTTAAATGTAAATTACCAGACAACAGCCTAATTTTATGTTATATATTGCATTCCCGGCATAATCAAGACACCCAGGAGAGTAGGGTATGGGGATATTTTAAATGATCTCCTCCATTCTGAGATTTTAAGACATATGTGTGGAAATACACTGCCCAAACAAGATAATATATATATTTTTTTCTGAGTATAGGCTTGAGGCAGAGATTGCTAGTTTTCCCAAATATCTACTCTCTCCTTACTAGAGTAACTGAATCCCTGACGGTTATCTGGGCATCTGGCCGGCCATAATTGAAACTACAATTTTAGCCTCTCTTGTGTAGCTAGGTGTAGTTGCATGACTGTCTTCTGGCCAACTGAGCACAGCAGAAGTGCTGTGCACAACTTCTAGGAAATGTCCTTAATGGGATTTGTCACCCTTTGCTTTCCCTTTTCTTCCTGCCTTCTGACTAGAATGTTGAGGTGACAGTTGGAGCTGAAGCAGCTATCTAGTATCATGAGGTGGAAATTCACTGCTGAGGACAATGGAGTATAAGACAGAAAGAATCTGGCACCCTGGTGACCATGGATTTTCCACGCCAGCCGTGGATTACCTTTTTTAATATCTCTTCTCCAAGTCTTGGTTATTTTGAGGTTTCTGTCACTACTAGCAAACCTAGATAATTCAGGGCTATCTTCTCAAGCTAGACTACAAACTCGTTTGAGAAAAGTACATTTTATACCTAGTTGGTTCAGATGAAAAGATTTACAGACTTGATAAAGTGTTCTCATCCGGGAAAGCAAAATATCATTGGTAGTTGTTGCAATCGTTAGGAGGCTTTCATTTGCCCAGTTTCCATGGAGTGCCATCATAAGTAATTTTATTCTCTTTCTCATAGAGCCTTCAAACCCACTGAGATTTGTCTTTGCCATCTTTTTAAAGGTAAACTTTAAGAAGGCTCCATATTTTTTCTCCTTTTAAGGAAAACATAAACAAAAACAAATAGTCCTCTTGTTTCTTTTGGTTTTGAAAAGTTCACCTCACAGGAGCCAAATTCAAGGAGCTCCCGTTTGCCAAAATTGGAACAATTTGAGTATCAAAAGGAATAATAATTGCCATGAAATAAAGAACAGTAAAAATGTTAAATCAATGAGTTCACAAAAGAATTGAAAAAAGCATCCCAACCTTTTGATCACTTTTGGAGGATGCTGAAGAACCAACTTGTTATTCTGAAAACTGGAAACAAAGGAAAAGAATAAAACGTATTTCTTGCTTTTCTCGAAGAATTCTCTCTCGATTCAATAATCAAGTATTTAATGAGGAAGTGTTTTTTTCGGAGAAGCTAAACAATGAAGGAGTGATAGAATATCCTTGTTTTGCAATGCTAATGAAACAATAAATGTAGGCAATGATCATCAATGGCTGTTAAAATTTGTATGCAAAAAGCCAGCAGGAAAATGTGTAACTGTCATATGAAGCTGACAACACTGTAACACACTGATTAATCTTAAAAGAAGGACAACCAGACATTGTATGTCTCCTGAGGTGACGCAAGAGGAAGTACACAAAATCACCAACTCAGAAGTCTTGCCAAGAGAAAACAAAAATCAAACACAAATCTAATCAAACTTTGATATAAATTCGAGATTACAGAAAATACAAGAGATAAATGAACCTGACAAATGACACTGTGGAGGTGCAATTGGATAAATCCAGAATACAAAAAAACATACTAAGGACAAATGACTCAGTATCAGTAACAAATAAGTCATAGAGGGCCAGACAGGGTGGCTGATGTCTGTAATCCCAGCATTTTAGGAGGCCGAGGTGGGTGGATTGCTCGAGCCCAGGAGCTTAAGACCAGCCTTGATAACATGGTGAAACCCTGTCTCTACAAAAAATTAGCCAGACATGGTGGCACACACCTGTAGTACCAGCTACTCAGGAGACGGAAGTGGGAGGATTGCTTGAGCCCAGTGGGTGGAGGTTGCACCACTGCACTTCAGCCTGGGTAAAAGGGCCAGACTCTGTCTCATAAAACAAAAACAAAACAAAACAACAATAAATAAGTCAGAAGGGAACTCTTAAATTAAAAGACGACTGTAATCCCAGCACTTTGGGAGGCCGAGGAGGGTGGATCATGAGGTCAGGAGATTGAGACCATCCTGGCTAACATGGTGAAACCCCGTCTCCACTAAAAGTACAAAAAATTAGCCATGGTGGCACGCACCTGCAGTCTCAGCTACTTGGGAGGCTGAGGTAGGAGAATCGCTTGAACTTGGGAGGCGGAGGTTGCAGTGAGCTGAGTTGGTGCCACTGCACTCCAGCCTGGGGAACAGAGAGAGACTCTGTCTCAAAAAAAAGAGACTTTAAGCATGATTGGACTTTGGGTTAGGAGTCAAGCAAATCAACTGTGTAAAGATGTTATGAAGCAATTAGAAAAATTTGTATATTGAACAGATGTTTGATAATACTGAGAAACGTGCTATTTTTTAAGATGTAATGATGGGCTGGGCATGGTGACTCATGCCTGTAATCCCAGCACTTTGGGAGGCTGAGGTGGGCAGATCACATGAGGTCAGGAGATCTGGAGTTCGAGATCAGCCTGGCCAACATGGTGAAAGCCCATCTTTACTAAAAATACAAAAGTTACCTGAGTGAGGTGGCGTGTGCCTGTAATCCCAGCTACTTGAGAAGCTGAGGCAGGAGAATTGCTTATACCTGGAAGGCAGAGGTTGCAGTGAGCCGAGATAGTGCTACTGCACTCCAGCCTGGGCAACAGAGCAAGACACCATCTCAGAAAAAAAAAAACAACATGTAATAATGGTGCTATTATCATGTTAAAATAGTCCTTATTTTGTATAGAAACATACTGAATTATTGATAAAATAATAAAATATTTCTAATTGGCTTCATTATAGTCCAATGGAGGGGGAGAAATTGGTAGGGGAAGGGATGAAATATGTTTGATCATGACTTGACAATTGCTAAAGCTGGCTAATGGGTATATCATTATTCTGCTCTCCTTGAATTGATGCATGTTTGAAAATTTCCATGATAAAAAGTTAAGAAAAGAGAAAGTGGCAGGGCGCAGTGGCTCACACCTGTAATCTTAGCATTTTCAGAGGCTGAGGTGGGTGAATCACCTGAGGTCAGGAGTTCGAGACCAGCCTGGCCAACATGTCGAAACCCCATCTCTACTAAAAATACAAAAATTAGCCAGGCCTGGTGGCAGGCGCCTGTTGTCCCAGCTACTTGGGATGCTGAGGCAGGAGAATTGTTTTAACCCAGGAGGCAGAGGTTGCAGTGAGCCAATTGTGCCAGTGCACTCCAGCCTGGGTGACAAGAGCAAAACTCTCAAAAAACAAACAAACAAAAAAAGGAAAAGAAAAGAAAAAGAAAGCCTAGTTCAGTTCAAGGTAATAATCAAAACTCCAAACATGTATTCAAGATGACGCTTTCCTTAACTTTGCATGGGTTTGCTTCAGAATTTGAAGCATGTTGGCTTTTCCACCAGGCTCTAACTTCTCTTTTCCCACACCTAAGCCTGGTTTCTGACCCACCTGAGCCAGCAGCTCAGGCTGGAGGGCAAAAGGAAGAGGGGCGAATGGTGCAGCAGTCATGAAGCTGCAGCAGTAATCTGGGGATGATGTCCTTGGGATGTGGTGCAGGCACAATTGCTGCTTTTTCTTGCATGTTTCATGTGCTGTGTTGTTTTCAGAGATTTTTCAGCTGAAGGTTCTGACAACTGTTCCCCTGATGTAGGAGGTGCCACTCTCCCTGGCCAACCAGCCCAACCCTCAGCCCTTGGGATTCAGCTGTTCTACCTTCCCCTGTCGGGATTCCTTTGCCCACTAGGTTGTCCTCTTGGCTGAAATTCCTTGAAAATGAACCACAGAGGCTGGGCATGGGGCCTTATACTTGTAATCTCAGCACTTTGGAAGTCTGAGCTGGGAGGATCACTTAAGCCCAGGAGTTCGAGATCAGCTTGGGCAAAACACAGAAAAATGGTTTCTATTAAATTAAAAGCAAAA